GAGTGGTTGTGGTTCTCCTGCTAGTGACAAGGTTACTCAAGGTTACTTGCTCAACACTGCCAGTGTGACAAAGTCCCTATGGAGATAAGTTGAGTTATACCCATTGGAGACAGACTGGTGAATGAGATACCTCATGTTTCATCAGCCAGCAGTAATAAGCATCTGCAGGAGAGAAACGAAGGGTCTTTCCTTCAGTTGGGTTGGTGTGTATCTAAAAGTGGGGCCAGATATGTCTGAGAAAGTCCTGGGATATGTCTGGACAGACATAGAGTTAGTTGTTGTCACCAAGGGAAGGCTCAATCCATGTGGAAATGGAATGGAAGGACTAGCTGTGGAAGAACGGAGAAAGGACCTGATGGAGTGCTTACAGAAGAAGGCCACAAAAATGATACAAGGGATAAAAAACACCTAGAAGAACAGGCTGAATGAGCTGGGGCTGTTCAGCCTGGAGAAGAGGAGACATCAGCAAGACCTGAGATCAGCCTTTCAGAAGGCGGGGCAAGGGGGGGGCTGTGAAAAGGAAGAGGACAGACACTAGCAGAGTCTGTTATGAGAGGACAAGGGGAAGAGGTTTCAAACTAAAATAGGGGAGATTTAGACTGGATGTAAGATAGGTATATTTTTACAATAAGGATAGTGAAGCACTGGTAGATTGCCCAGTGATGAGGTGAATGCTCTGTCCCTGCAGACACTCAAGGTCAGGCTGGATGGGACTCTAAGCAACCTCACTTAGGACCTAAATGTAGGCATCCCTGTTCATTACTAGGAAGTTGGATAGATGACCTTTATGGGACTCTTACAACTCAAACAATTCTATGAATCAAGTGCTCTATGAGCTCTTCACAATGCATTCCTAGATTTGTTGGATTATTGAGTGTATTCATGGTATAGTGGCTCTTCTCTCACTTTCTTTGTAAATATTGTCAGAAGTTTCTGTCTGTGACCAATAAGAAGTTATGATTTGGAATCTGTAATGATCCAATTGTATAGTTAGTGTCATCTGTTTTCTCAGATTAGCAGACTTGCTCTTTACTAAGCTTTGATTTACATGGAGGGCAGGAGCAGTCCTTTCTTTGAGCTTTGAAAGGAAATGAAGATTGGGGACGATTTACAGCTTGTGCTTTGCTGCCAAAAAGGAAAAAAGGGTTTAGTAAAATTGCTGGAACAAATATTCTCAAACACATGACCAAAAATGAAAATATACTAAATCAAGAGCACTTTTTAAATTGATGGCCACTGAGAATAACAGGTGGGCTGCTGTTTTAATTGATTCAGAGTAATTATAAAAGTCATATTTTGCAGTTGAGATGAACAAACACAGCTCAACTGTTGCATATTGTCTTGAGTTTGTGAAGAGCACTGTGCTCCCATCCACAGCTGGGGCAGGTCCAGTAGGTTGGTGCTAGGTAAGCAAACAAAGCATGAGGGAGCACAGCAGAAGATAGGGAGCATGGCATGACAGAGGGCTCTGAAAGATGGTTTGGGATAAGAGATTAACAACAGGCCTAAAGGAAATTATTTCCTGTCCTAAAAGATGCTTTTAAGTTGCTGCAAGCAGGTGAAGAAACATCTTGGTGGTTGGGGATTTTGGAATTGGCATTGTAGCTTATAAATTGAAACATTTACTTACCTATTGTTTGATTATTGGTTTTTGTTTTTTTTTTTTTTTTAATGATCACACAAACTAAATATTTTTTTCATAGAATAATGCTGATAAATTTTACATTTTCTCTATTTTTTTCTGGATTTGGTACAGGATGCATTCCAATCTGCGCCCTCATCATCGTCAAGATTTTGATGCTTGCTCCACGAAAATCACATTTGCACTAGAGTATATTAGCTTTCATTTAATACAGAAAATTTTTCTTTAAAGTAGAAACCAATGGAAATTTGTTGTTGTAGTTACCAGGATACTACTAAATAAGAATGATCTTACATGGGCTATTTACTTTGTTGTGCAGATTTTTGTCTCCTGCTGTACCAGAGATGTATTCCGTAATTAGTATTAATCATTTTTTCTTGGGCCATAGAACATTTTTTTAAAGCGTCTTCTAAAGAGATGGAATTCAGAACCTGCAGGATTTCTATCCCTTGAAGCCAGTTTCCTGTTACTGCTGGCACTCTTCCGTATGGTTATGTCTCATACATCTATTTTCATATCCTGATCCCACATAAATTCAATCAGTTACTTTTTTTGTCCTACTACACTTATTGGAAACCTGATCCAGAGCCTCACTTATCTGATAGAAATATGATTTCTGGTGTATCTCTGGCTAATTTATACCATTTTTGTTGTTGCTGTTGTGCCAGCAACATTCTTTAATGTAGAAGTTAGTTTTCTTCTTGGACTCTTAAACATATTTTTGTGTTTGGGGAACAAACCTGTCTCCCCTCAATGTTTATTTTATTAATGGCTTCCTTTGCTAAAATAGATACTGTGTTTTACCAGATTCTGTCTGTTCTGGTTTGAAGTAATCTTCCTTGTGAAGGCAAGAACAAACTGTGCCAGCAGAATGACATTTACTTTGTAATTCCTTTGGGAACACTTTGCATTACATGTCAGAGCTTCTGTTTTTTCCTTTTCGCCTTTGCACCACACTGGTGGTTCACAGCAAACTCTTCACTTCTGCTACCAACTGTGGTGACCTAAGGAATGCCATTATTGTCTGGCAGAAAATCCAATTATTTCACATGTGCATGACTCTTTGCTCTGGATGTTAGATCCTTTCTCAGGTTGTCCTGATCCTCATCTTTATTAATGATGTTTCTGACCGCTGCATCATCAGCAAATGTTCTTAAAACATTTCTAGTGGACCGTGTCACTGTGCCATGGTCACTGTAAAAATGTTTAATAAGATTGGTTCGTAGAAAAACCTACAATGCCCTCTGGCCTGTTAATTCTCTTTTTAGTTCCCACAGAGAGATTCGCCTCAGGTTTTCCATTCAGACCTCAGCAGGAGTCAGGATCTCAATGCCATCATCTCCAAGCCCTGTTCCAGTCTTCACCTGTCATGCAGGAAAAGCCCTTCAGCTGTCATTAACAACCACAAGGGGTTGTTGACCACAAATGTGAAGTAGATGCTCTAGTAAATTAGTCCCCATCTAAGGAAGATATTGTGTATGATATGTATTACATATTTTTACTTGCAGGTAAAAATGTTTTGTTCTTACTTAGTTCTCTGTTGCTGATCCATTGGATATTTGGGCTTTTTTTTTTTCCTTTTTAATACTCCATACACAGTGAATTCTTGAATCTTTTGTTAATTTAATGTTTGGTACAAAGAGAACGTCATTCCCATTATCAAATGCTTAAGCAAAAACCAAACATTATATTCCCTCTCTCCTGATATGAATTTGATAATGAATCTGATGTTTACACACACTGTTCGTGAACTGAGATCAGCGTGCAGTGGTGAGAGGTTGATACTGGTCAAATTCCAGTAGTCATTAATAGAAAACATTGCTGTTCTAGAAGAGCTCAGATGCAAAGACCTTGAAGATCATCAAGTCCAACTGTGACTGAACTAAATGACAATGACGACTTCTCTTGGGTGCATAAACCTCTTGCTTGGATCGTAACTCTCCACTGTGCCTGGGTAATAAAGTGGTCTGACATAGTATTTGAGTCCTATAGAATTGAAATATCTGATAGCTATGTTGGGTCCAGCTCTTTGGCTATCTTGAAGAGAACACTTGAGGTCTTTATTTACAGCTTCATTGAGCTGAGACAAAGAGACCAAGTCAGTTATCAGGCACATTTTACTGCAGACCACATTGAACAGCCAATGTCACTGCATTCCACTTGTGCTTACCACCACAAACTGTTTTTTGTCTTGCTTAATTTCAGTTTCAAGTAACAATTCTCAGAAGTTATGTGTTTTGTATATTAAGACATATCATGGGCTATATTACCCTAATGTGTGCACAACAACTGTGCACAAATCATCCACAGCTGCAAAAGATAAACCAGATTATTTTTATTTATTAGTTTAATATGAACCCTTAATTGAAGATTATACAGTAATGCACAAAATGCAAATTTACTTTTGGTATTTTCTGCCTTGAAGTGTTTTATCACATAATCCAAGCGTGGTTTTAAGTTTCTGATGAGATGTATGAGAAGGCTTTTTTTTATTTGGAAGAAAGCATTAAAGAATTGTGAGCTTATCACATGTGTGCATGTATGTGTGTTTAGACACAGCTTCAGGAATTGTACACACCTCTTCAAATAGGAATATCTTGTATGTCTGATTTCATGAGGAATTCAAAATTAAAGGTCACCTAGAAGCTGTCTTCATACTTAATTCATTGATGACAAAGTACGGTTTTGGCTTTTTATCCTTCTAATGAAATGGTGTTGCACACATTGCAGAACTCTGGTAATTTTATTTTACTGTAATTCCTAAAAAAAAATAATAATAATAATAATGGGCATGCTATAATGCACTGAGGTATTTTACTAGAAAATTGAGAGCCAGTTTTTCTCTCTATTTTCCAGATAACTTCTCTCCTTCTGTCTGTGCTGTTGTTTTTTGTTTTTTTTTTTTTTTCAGAATTGTATTGCTTTGGTACTATCTCACTTCTGCAAAAGGCAATTTTGTTAAATGTATTCCCAGATGCTCTGATGAAGTTATAACTGTTTGGCAAAGGCTTGAAGATGA